ACCTGAAGCCTTCTCATATATTCTACCTGCAATGGTCATGTTTCAGTCATATAGTAGGACTCAGCGAACTGCAGCATAGCACAGATAAGGAAGGTAAGAGAAACCGGTCACAGGAAGTAGAAGTAGAGATTACTAAAAGAGAGACAGGAAGAATGAGAAAATGGTGAGATTCGGTATATCGTCGTTACGATGAGGATAATGTGTGTGAAGATACATCTCCATTACTCACATCGGTTCCCAGCCATATGATCACTTGGAGTCAGTCTCCAACCACTAGCTTTTCTTGTCCCGCCAACCCCAACCAGCCACTTCCAAATTTTTGACTGAAGTCCTTGAATACATAACTATTTGAAATGCCTCAATAACTCCCATTCTGAACCAATTCATAAAACTTTAGATAAAAATTCAGAAGTATTTTAACTTCGATATACCATTAATAATAATGATGATAGATAGATGAAAATTATTTGAAAGTATAGTTTGTAAAATGTAAACAGAATGTCTTACGTTTTCAAATTATATGAATATTACAAGTGTATAACTTTAGCACTATGATAGAATATAACTCTGTATTACATTTGTTTATTTGTTATATACCACACAGTGATACAGTATTATGATTAACTTGATGACGTTTCAAGGATAAATTAGCATTGCTCATAAACATACGAAATGTAATCACATTCCATTTTCGATAGCTGATTTTTATAGTCGTGTCAACCACCTTATATTCTTTGATGATATACTAGTAGTAAAACTCTCCATATATGTTGGCTGGATATTGATTCTATGAACGCAGATTCAGGAATCAATCTCTCCGCCTAAATTATATTGAATTTAAGCGGTACATTGGTTTTATCCTACCCATTCTACTGTGTGGTTGTGTGTTAATCCATGAATTGCAATAGCTGAGTTGTATTCTGGATTATTGATCTTATTGAGGAGTCTGTCATTCTATATTTAGCTAAATTCCTATATTCCGCTGTTCTAACTGATCATAGACCGGCTAGTTCCACCTATGTACTCTATCTCACAGTCATCATATGGAATTTCGTAGATTAGATTATTTTGTCTAATTGCATATATCAGATACTTAAGGTAGGTGACAAAGTTTATCTCTGAGTGAGTTCGTGGGTTCAAAGGCTACCTTGATTCCAGATTTGTTGAGGATCCGATGTAAAGTTTCTGATCTACCTTCCTTCCTTCCTTCCTTCCTTATAGGGTAACATAATAGACGCTTTGAACTACTTTCTACTCCACTTGTCGCTATAATTTCTATTCGTATTATTGTTATTAATGTAATTTCGTTAGTTATGTGTTCGTGTAGGGATTTTTTGTTCATAAACTGTAAAGGGTAATTATGAATTATTAACTCTTCTTTTATGTGTTTCAATTCTTTATTGAAGTAGTTGTACTGACTAGTCACTTTTCTAACTGTATCATTAAGACATTTGACTAGTCCTTAACTCTAAATGACATTGGATTGCTCCTACTACTCAGTTTACGTTAGTTATGCTTCGATAATCAGGGTCGAGACATATGAATGTGGAATGACAGACCCGAATAAGATCAGTAATCTAGAAAGCAATGGAGATGGAGTCAAACAACCAACTACCATTCCTGGATGTTCTAGTCAGTAGAACAAATGTCAGAAAGCTGGAAACCCAAGTATACAAGAAGTCAGCACACACTGACTGCTCAAATCCTCAACTACAGTAGCAACAACCCAACAACCCAAAAGATCAGTTGAGGGCAGACTGTATTCAAGAGAGCATGAACACACTGCAGTACAACAACTTCACGGACAAACAAAGAAAATTACTTGATGTCCACCCTAAAGAAGAACAGCTAACCACGAAACTTTATAACAACGTGCGTATCCCGTGCATTATCAGTTAGAAAACCATCCACAGAAATCAATAAACGCATCATCCTACCATACATGCAGAATATATGAGGAATCACGACAAGATTACTGCAACCACTTGGTGGAACTGGCTTGGTGCCTCATAAACCAATAAATTCCTTCCAAACACTATTATGCAGACCAAAGGATGCAACAAGCAAAGAAGACAAACCAAATATCATTTGCAAAATCAACTGGAATAACTGTAGTCAACACTACATTGGACAAAGTGGTCGCCCTCTTCGCCTTCATCCACATGAACTCTAACTAGCTATTAAACGTCACGACATTTCATCACTCATTTCAATCCATGCGGATAACAACTATGGACATGAACTGAATATCGATAATGTAGAAATTTTGGACACAGGAAACTCAAAGAATATCAGAGAATTCCTAGAAGCTTGGTATTCAGGTGAGTCAGTCAGTCAGCAATCAATAGATGTATAGGCATAGACCCAATCTATCAACCAATAAGGAAAATGATAAACGACTGGAAGGTTAGAGGTCAAGAAGAGAAACAGTCAATCGAAAAATCTTTACAGTCAGTCAATGACACAACAATTAAAGGAAACAACCAATCAGAAACCGGTTGGTCATGGCAAGCTACCAAATCACTTACGGAGAGATATTGACAGTACTCTTCATCCTCAATTTAGTACTGATGATGTTGTGTAGCAAGACGATGAAAGCGTCTCCGTGATTAAACAACCCAGCTCAGAGGAACACAATACAATAGAGAATCTAGGGAGGAACTTGGCTATCGTAATAGATTAACACATAAACTTACAGTAGGTTGGATACGTAGGGTTGAAACCAATGTATCACTTAAGTCAAATATGGACATAGGGGGAGACATATTGATTACTGAATATTTGTTCATCGAATCAACATCCAGCGAACACATGTAAAAAGTTTTACAATGAATAAGAACAAAGAATATGAGGTGGGTAACAGGAGTATGAAAATCAGCTGTCGAAAGTGGAATGTGATTATGAGCAATGCTAATTTGTGCCCGAAACATCATGTAGTAAATGATAGTATAAATGGTACTATATCACAGAAGTTTGTGGTATATATAAAAAAAAAGGGGGAATCTAATATGTTACTATCATTTTCACTCTATCTACATTTATAAGTTGATAAATGATTGGATAGAATTTAAATAAACTTTCAAATCTATATATCCTTGGTCACGTTCATTTATTCAAACAAACTGATTCATAAATTGTCAGTTTTCATCAACCTTCATCAGCTGAACAAATTTATTGATTTCTTAATGACATACAGCATAGCCAAGTTCACTCCAATATCTGACAACAATGAATTAAGTGAACACTGTAGATTGCATTAGTACACTAGATAGATGGTTGGTTGAAAATACCTTGAAACGGGTATAATTGATACTTACCCTATAAATTACTAGTAAATTAAGCCTATTTACATAGCTATCATCTTTCACCTATACAACACTTTTCATTATAATTCCCTTCATTATTTCATTAAATTTCTTATTTGTTTAAAATTATTTATGAATTGGCGCCAAAACTGACAGACTAAATTTGAATTATCCATTTCAACTTTCCAAGATACAGAACTGATGAGTTTCTTTTTCCAGTTGGATAGAATAGTTACTCACTGTCAAGGTCATTTCAATATCCCTATGATTTTAATACAACTGTTCATTTTGTTTAAATGTTTAGATAGGAAGCGGAAGATTTGAAAAAGTTCAAAAATGAATAGAAGGTTTCAATTTAAACAATTCAAAATTATGTTAATTATAAAGAATTAGAATTCCAGGTTTACCATTAGATCTATTTGTATCAGGCGCTTCAAATGTTTATGTTCAAGTGAAATTTATAGAGGCTGAAAATTCAGCAGCCCCATTCACCTTATGGAACGATAGGAAATATACGTTTTTTGTGTAACTTCTCTTTCTCTATTACTGTTGCCGAAGGTTCCTTTACTTTAACATATGGAGTTGTTTCCTTTTGTTAGCTTGAATTAGGGACAATGGAAAATGGTTTAAGCGTTTCTTCCTAATGGTGACTCATCAGCTACTAGTGAGTGATATTGTCAACACTTAAACGGTGACCAAACATTTATCATAGTTAACGTCAGAACATTATGACCACACTGCTGAGTCACTTTACTAACCAGAGAGAACTGATCAGTCATTGTTGAATATATAACCTTTTCTTTCACTATGGTCGATTGATTTTTGCAATCTTTTCTCAAGTCATACTATATTCATGCTTATAATTGATGATAATTCGATAAAGGAATCCAGGATGCATTTTTATTCCTGTATGGAATCTGTCAGCTTCACGTAACTGCATCTGTTTTGATGTCCTTACAGGAAACTGAAACTGGCATTCATTGTTCGAAGAACTAGGATGCTGTTTATCAAAGAGTTGAATGGACAGATCCTCTTCTTGTACAGCTGATCTTAGTTGTAATCTAAACTGCTGTGATTCCACCGGTGTTAACTTTGATGAACCAAAGAGATCGGTCTTACGGTACGGAATCCAATTGTTAACCAACAAAAATATGCATGATATCCTCTTATTTCTCTAATTTACTTGGTTGTGTCTAGTCGAGGAATCCAGGACGCTTATTTCATTCTCTTTGAAACACGTCAGCTGGATGTACTTGCATCTCAATGAGTAATATTGTTCTTACTGAAACTCACGCCTCCCAGAGGTCTAAAAAGTCCATCCAGTAAAACAATGGAGAATTACAAGCACAGGTAACTAATACTCGTTGTACAAGAGGTGGCTATCATGCCTCAGTAGCATAATGGGTAATGCCATGGGGTTTGAGTCGATGGAACAGAGGTTCGACTCTCAGGGAGGCAATACCACTCAATGGAATGCAGGTACATCCAGGTGAAGAGTCCCAAATGGGACGAAATGCCCCTTCTGAATATTCTTCTGCTAGTCACAACTAAGTAAATTACCGTAATCGACATTCAGGCAGTGTCTAGGCATCCGCATAGGAGCCAATAAGTCAACGGAGAATTATAAGCAAATCAACATATAGAAGTCATTTTATTTCCTTTATAGTTATTTCTTTTGACTTTCATTTCAACCAGTGAGATGTCTTCCACGTATCCCATTGCACAAAATTATCCTCATCTTTGGGGGATAAATATATTCATCTTAATATGGATGTTATATGAGTACAATGTGTATAATAGTTGGCGGGAAATACTACAAAATAACCAGAACCGACCTGATCTTATGCAGTTAATGTCATCTTCGAGTGAATCTACAGGTTTACGCGTTTATATTGTGGAGGAACATCATGAAGGTGAGTTACAAATAATCCTTACATTGAATGTATGGTTTTAGACGCATAGATTTTTAATAAGGCTTAAGTGAAATGCAGAAGATTGATGGGACTGAAATATTCGATATGTCCGGTGTTGAATAAACGGAACAGGTACCTAAACAGAAAAACCTTCTACAGAGATCTCATTCTTGAAGTTGTATAGTTACAGTATTTGACAGTTTGAAGTGGTTTGTCAAACATGGTAATTAAACCGCATAATAATCAAAACTTCATGGTAATTTCATAATCATCACTGAGTTTGGATAATAAGTTGCGTAACACAATAAGATATTCAAGAACATAGAGGTCACAGGGAAAAAAAATGAAAAATGTAAAAAGAAAGGGATGATTTCAGGTACTGTGAACTAAGATCATGAAAGAAGAAACGATTGAACAAGTTTCTTTCACGTACAAACTTTAAGATTCTCCACATAGATGAAAAGAGTTTCTCTGATGAATAGAATATGCTTCTGACAGTTTCTCTGTGTATACACCACCTCGTGTGACCTTATGGAGCCAAGTATATAAGTACTTTGATGTTAGGTAGGTGGTTGATTGAAAATACCCTTGAAATGAGTATAATCGACACGTATCCTATAAATTACCAGTAAATTGAGCCTATTTACACCGTGATCATCTTTCATCCCGCCTAATTAACTAGTTCACCACTTACTAGCCGGTCCTAAGCCTGGGTAAAGAGGGAAGATAGGGCGTAAGGCTACCAATCCAATCGCTAAACAAACTTCAAAGTACGAAGAAAATATCAAAAATGAAAACAAACTTATTTCTCGCTGGAATCCGATCGGGGAGACGAAATGATGCCAGTTGGTGAAAGTCTTCCGGAAGCCAGTCGGCCGATGTGTCTTTGCCTCTCTCGATGAAACAGAAAGTAAGAATGGGGACATGTAGTGTCCGCACCAAGTATGAACCTACCAAGCCAGCACAGATTGCGAAAGAGATGAGGAGGTATGGCATGGAAGTGCTAGGAATTTGTGAAAGCAGATGGAATGGAAGTGGACTGTCCAAACTGTCAACTGGAGAGTGAGTAGTCTGCTCCGATATTGTCACCCAAACGAAAACCACGAGCATACTGAGTTTTGGAGTGGCTATCACGATGTCTCCAAGCACATCGAAGGCTCTCATGCAGTAGGAACCAATCTCTCCAAGGAAATCTTTGCATCAGCCATCAGAACAAAGTAGAAGATGTTGAGAATATGCTTATGACTGCTTCTCTGTGTATACACCACCTCGTGTAACCTTATGGATCCAATTATATAGGTACCTTGATGTTAAGGGGAATAGATATGAAGTGCTTAACCTGAACACTTCATCACTATGGGTCACTTTATCGCAACAATATAACTCTTCATTTAAAATTATTTATAAAGTGGAATGAAGCTTTCCGAAGGCTGTATTCCACTGGATCGCTTAACCTCATATCATGCATATAGAGAATCTTGAACCTTGTACATTAAGTAATTTGTTCATTGGCCTCTTCTTTCATGATCTAAATACCAAGTTGTTGAAGTCAACTTTTTCTCTCTTGCTTTCTTATCTCTTTACTTTCCACTTGATTTCTGTTTCATTCTCTTCTCTATACTTCATGTGTTCTGAAATATGTTATCTTGTCCGAACTCCGCGATTGTCATGAAATTTCATGTCATATTTTGAATGCAGAGGTTTGTAGGGATTTAGTTATTGATTTCAAGTTGGTATTCACCATGAACTGACATCATTTAGGAGCACTTAACACCTATTTCGTCCTAGTATAGGGCTCCTCAGCAGTGAACATGCATGCCGGGGATCGAACCCAGCACCTTCAGGTTTCATGGCCAACTTATTACCATTAATCCACTGAGTAGGAATCCAGTGGTCCATATTTTTTACCTCTGTCAGTTCACAGTATACTGTGACCATCGCCCAATATCATCGTTGTGTATTTGTCCTCACGGCCACCAGGTTTGCTCCTCATATTTCTGATTATTTTAGGATGAGAATGACAGTTATCTTATCTGTTGTTACCATAAAGCAAAAGACGTTCAGTGAAGAGATACTGTTTTCAGTGACATCATTCTCAAGCTGTACAATCAAATTTATTATTATTTGTCCTTTGGGTTCCTTGTGGAACATAGGGCTTCAGTAAAACATCGCCGTTCCACTCTCTTCTCTCCAGTCTTTTCAACCTGGCTCCAAGACTTCTCACAACCTTTCATTTCTTCCTCATGCATGTCACCTTCAACTTGGACGCCCACCTCATCCTTTCTCATTCGACTTCTACTCAAGGGCATGACGCGAGACGCCTCCAAACCGTCTTCTTAGTGTATGTCTAATCCAATCCATGTCTCCTTTTCTCTACTGCATATTTGTTGAGCGATGGGTTCTTGCTTCGTTGATTCATTTTCAAGCCAGAGTTCCTTGTTGCTTATTCTTATTATTGTCGCCATCTGATCCGATCTTCAGTATCGAGTGAATGAGTGTAGGCGGCAGGTGTTGATGTATGTCTGTAGTTTGTTGGAAATGATTTTCTTAATGCGCCAAGTCTCTCAACCATCACATAGAAGCACTGCCTCACTTGACTGACTGAGTGTTGAAAATCCGGATGTTGTTCACGCTTTATACTGAGTGCAGTGCAGTAGATCTCCACACTGATTTCAGTTTAACGAAGGAAGGCCTCGCTTGGTGTCCTTCCGATCATCGCTGGCTTTTACATCCCCATCGGTGCACCGCAACAGCCTGTAGTTGAAATGATGCTGACTTGGTAGGCGGAAGGGTTGGTAGGTAGGCAGGTGGATGAAGGAGCCAACTTCCTTTACATTTCTCTCTTTTATAGTATTTGGTACTAGTTGTTGCTGTTATTACTGGCTGGGTATCTTCATCACCTCCGTCTCCTTTACGTTCACCTGAAGGAAGTTCCGTCTTCCTTCGCTAACTCGCCTCTTCTGCCAACTTGTTGGTTTTCCCCTGTGGGTCTTGCAGCTTGTGCAACATTAGACATAAATCATAGGCGAATGGCAAATCTTCTAGGATCTTTTCATCGATGCAACCAGCGTATTCCCCTTTTCTCGCTCCTCACAGTTGATTGTTGCATGATCCAGTCCAGTCTAGTTGAGTCGACCACAATCAGTAATCATCAATGATAGTCACTTCAAAGGCACGACTGAGCTTTCCATTGTGAATCATTTGGCATGCAGCATCTTATAGCATATAGCTGCTGTTGAATGAGGTTGATAAAGGTTTGTGGCATTAAAAGCGTAGTGTTGAAACAGTTTCCAAATTACTTTTCGGTCGACACTGTCAAAGACCTTTTCAAAACCGATGAAGTTGAGGTAAAGATGCAGTTGACTGACATTCTATGCTCTGTTCTATGATCATGCGTAGTGTAGCGTTGCAATTCGATCCACACATGATTTGTACTCCCTGAAGCCAGCCAGCAGCCTGTTCCGGTAGTCATTTTGAATTCTGAGCATTGTTTAGTCTCTCTAAGATGATGTGGCTTAATGTTTTGTTTGTGGTGGACAGCAGCATGATTCGGTGCCAGTTCTTGCAAAGACTTAGGTCTCCCTTCTTTGGGAGTTAGACAAGACAGCCCTTCTTCCAATCGGTTGGCATGTACCTTTCCTTCCTTCTTCCCAAACCTTTTGCAATAGTGGTGTGAGCATGTCCGCTATTGTCCCTGCGTCTATTTTCAGTGCTTCATTCTATTCACATTGTAACTAAAAAAGCCTTTCCTCAAATATGTTTTAAACAAAGTTCAGATTTTTGATAGTGTTATTAAAAGATGAAGCATATTTGGACAATCTATGATGTATTTGCCCAATACAAATGAAAGGTAAGATTTTAAGGGAAAAATATTCTCACAGGTATCTTTTCTTCACAACTCAAGTGATTGGATAGATTTATTGTGTCATGACTTCCGTAGTCTGAAGTCCTAGGCGTACACCATTCACGTGACTTACGCAAACTCCATAGATGACACTGAAGTTGTTTTCGGACCACCTAGTAAATCCTTTTCCCTTACCATATGATTAGAATATTTATCTCTGTGGTTGTACAGCTGAAAAGATTGATTTTTTACTGAACATCTTTTGTTTAACGACTTAATAGCGATTTTTTAAACTAGCGAAACACTTGTTACAATGTTTAACAAATTGCTCTTTACTGCTAAATATGGGAAAAAGTGGATAAACGTGTGGTTGTACAACTTCTGGAATAAGATCGTCATGCAAAGTCAGTCTGCTGAAGTCTGAATATATCGATTAGTCACTGGGGAGCAGCCGATTTCATGTTATCCAGTTGAGGGTGTAGATCCACTTCTATCGATCATTTTTGCTGTGTTACTAAGAGGTTAGGCAACTCAGGATCTTGTCGCACATAGATATATGTTAGTAGGTTGGAGGCAAACGGTAGGAAGCTATAGATTTATGTTTTCTGCTTGTGGACATTCGTCAGAAAGGCGTGTCTCCAACCTTGATGGAAGGGATATCCTTCCTGAGACTTGAACCCATGTCACTGAGTGTTCCAGTCAGTGACTTTAGTTTTGAGCTATTCGGATCGCGATTGACCGTGACTAATCAATGTATGTAACCCAACCCTACAAGAGGTAGGTAGCCGTCTTCATGACTCAATTGTGACGTCGATGACTACAACACTCGGGGACACGAGTTCTGGTATCAGGCCAGACATCAGTCCCAAAGAGGTTGCAGATACATCTTTTTGATGAGTACCAACAACCACGAAACCTAGGTAGTGCAGAGTTTCTTCCAATCAATCAGCATGAATTCCTGTCACATTATTTTATTATTTTAGAATTCGCTTTGCTTATGACTTGATTGATGACATTATTGTATAACTCGGTTAAAGAGCTTTTGATCGATTGCTTACTCCTTTCTTTATGACCTGTGGTTCAGAAATAATCATTACATGTTGACTGATGTCAATCATTATTCATGATCTTAGTTTCTGTGCATTGGTTGTTTCAT